GAAACAAAACACATACAAAGTACAGGTCACAGGATCAAGTCCCGCAAGGCTCAAAACAAGAAAACAAACTACAAAGCCAAACACTCAGTGTACAGCCCCACTGGGAAACTGCGATTTATTGCAGAGGCGTAATCCCCAGGATTCAGCTATGGACGTCCTAACTGGGGATTTAGCTCCCCCCCTTGCCCCCTCTCCCGTCTTCCTCTATCTCCTCTTCTTTTTGGCTTTCCCGCTCCTGATCCTCCCCATTGTAATGACCTGACCAAACACGGACTGAGACACACAGCTGATTTCTGAGTTTTGCTCATGGAATGAATGCCTTGCTGAGTTTCCCGCTTGTTACTGAGTTCTCTAAGTCTGTGTGTGTGCACGCTTGCTGGTCTGCATGCCTGTCTGAGCGCTTGTCGGCTTGAGTGTGTGTGTGACCCGCAAGGGCACTTGTTCGTTCAGTGGGCCCGAAGGGCTGGTACTTACCTGTGGCCGTGACATTGAGGATTGCAGCAGGGAAAACACTCAAGTGGTGGGGAAAGAGGCCCACAACACTCGAAGCAGCGGAAAACACTCAAGTAGCAGGTAGGCCGGTACCACACCAGGTAGAGGTAGATGTGCCGGGTACTCGAGCCCGAGCAGAAGAAGACAAAAGTTGGCATTTTTAGAGGCCCAGTAGTTGTAGGCTAGGTCTAGGCGGGTACCAGTCCAACCAGTCTGAGTCTAGGGCCTGTACGGGCGATATCAGAGTCTGCAATGATGTTTCCCTACGAAATGGTTGTGGCAACCAAGGAGCGCACCCATCGTGACCCATCGTCCTCGAACTATGAGCAAACAATTTCAGAGTCACAGAAAGAAACAGAGTCCAAAGGACAAGGCAGACCCAAGATTGCTCACATCATTTCCCATCATGCCAACCCAGGGATCTCTCGCCACCACGCTCATGGCCCGAACCCATCGTGCGAACCAGATGTGATTAATGCGGCTACATATTATCCCACTCCGCTACAGTGCACAAGGAATAAAACAGTTCGACATGCTTCAATTCCACCCCAGGGCACCACCATTGCTTCAAACTTCCTCAGCACCGCAGCGATTGTTGCTACCGTGTCCGAACGTGACTCCCGGTACCGCCTCATTCCCTCCTTAGTCCCCCATCTGTCCGGCCCCCCGGGGAGTAAACATACTCAACGCAAGAACCGTCTACCGCAGCGATGGCTGCTATTACGTCCGAACACGACTCCGGGCACCATCCCATCACCTCGTGCTATTACGTCCGAACACGACTCCCGGCACCATCCCATCACCGCCGATCCGAGGGGAGGATACAGATTCAACACAAGAACAGTCCCGGCATGTGAAAGATAATTAGCTCTATGATATCAAGTCCAGTCAAAAGGATGATCATCCGACACAGATCCTGGACACAATTCGTAATCGGAAGACACCCTTCGTTCAAAAACAGAAGGTCCCTACTGCCAACAACGCTGAAACTGTCATCCACCGGAAAGTTCATCAACACGCCCCCTCCACCACGTCCCGTACCCCCGGCCAAGCACAACCAACGAGAGAAAGCATCAGGGTTCCTACACTGAACTCCATTTCCAATCGTAAGGGTTCGCTCACCCCCACATCGGGTCCAGAAGATGACACCCCATCATACCATATCAAGGTCCCTCCTCTGACATGGAAAAAGGTACGTGAACATGGACTACCGTGGCAGCAGCAAGGTTCGTAGGTGGTCTCATGTGCTGGTGCAGTACAAAGGCAGGGAGAGTAATCATAGCTAGATACGCGAGCAGGCACAACAGAAGGGCGGAGGGGAGTGCAGGGGATGATTCAACAATTTCCAAGGGAGGGGCTGGACATGTGAGCACTTGTACATGGCATGGGCCCATAAGCCCGTAGGTGAGCAATAGAGGAAGGTAGCGGTGAAGGCAATGGTGTTATGATCCTGGCCAAATTCGAAGTACACATTCATCGGAAAGTACAATGCCGCCCAATTGCAAAAAGAAATGAATGAACTTTAGAGGAGAGAGAGGGTAAGAAGAAGAACAAGAAGAAAGAAAGAAAGAAGAAGAAGATGAGGTACACCAGCATAGACCAATGATAATGCTCTTCTTCTTCGCCAACCACTCTCCTCCTCCTGATCTCCTCCCCTCTTATTGAAACAAGAATAATAATAACAATGTTGAATGGCTGATCCAGAATCAACGTCCGAGTCCCTCTTCTACGGCAGGTATCACTTGAGGTCCACCATAGCCATGGTTGCCCCTCTTCCTTCTTCCTCATAGGCTGAGTCTATGGCGGACTACCAGGGCATCGCCCTGCTGTCCAAAGGACAACACAAAGCAGCTATGGCTGCTCTAGCTTGGGCCACCATGCCGGACTCTGCCTCGAAGCTTCTTGGTGTAGCTCTGCCCCAACTGGGCCTTCCTGCTGCAGTGCCCACCAAGGTGATGAAGATGGCAACCACCATAGCCAGGTAAGTACCTCTGGCGCTCCCCTTCCTAGTCCTGGTCTTCTTCCTCCTCCGTGTCCTTGCTCGGATTGCTCCTTCCCCAGCAGCGCAGCTGTGTGCTAGCGCTGCTCCAGCCAGCGCTCCAACCAGTATGTCACCAAACTTGCACACCGACTCCTCCTGGAGATATAGCGGCCTGCTTGCCTCTCGGCGAGTGACTTCCTAGGCCGCGCGGCCTCCAAGAAATCAGTACCTCCTCGCTCTGAATCGTGTGTTCATCTAGGAACGATGGAATAATGCCTTCTATTTCTGTTGGAAGGCGGCATGAGCCCCGTCCGTGATGGGTATTATGATATTATCATACTATTATGAGGTTTAGGGTATGGCATGAACCTCACAAGGTTCTTTGCAATTCTTTCTCTCTTTGCTTGGTATCCATGATTGATTGGGAAGAGAGCTAACGTTGGGTTTACACATGGGAGGTGAGGGTGAGAGCCTCGATGTTCGGTCTTACATGCTCTGTTTGGAGCAGGATGATGGCATAGACGGGATATTCGTTGATTTCTATTTCCCCCCCCCCTTTTTCCTTGTTTCTTTTCCACTTACTGCTCCTGGTGGGAGCTGTGGTGAATAATGTTGGAGACACTCTTTGCGTTCTGTGACAATGAGTGATTGGTTGTCTGAGCGATCAGGCGTTCTATCTTGAGGCATCCTCGAATTGGTCAGAAACATTGATGTTTTTTCATTTCATAGGAAGAATTCGTTTTGCTTCTCTTTCATCATTTTTCCAAGCCAGGGCTTGCGGAGAGCACACATGTGATACAATTTTTTTCGACGACCATGGTTCGGAGTAACATGGCGATATTGGTGTTAGCTTATCTTCATACTTGTGTCGCATGAAGCCATTGTTTTAAACTTTGGAATTTTGTCTTCGCTGTCTCTGATGTTCTTTCCCCTGACGGAATGCCCGTTAGTGAACAGCTCATTTGGCTGCTTGCTGTATGAGTTGGTATTTTGAGCAAGGAATGATGGATTGTATGCTGAGCGTGCAGTCTTATGTGTTGATGTTTGGACATCACTTGCCTTGATAATCATCAGTGACAAAGCTGACTACCTTGAGTTATGAGTTAGTGTGCCCCACGCGTCTTTACTCTGTGATCCTTCTCCCACAATGTACGAAACGTGCCGTGGATCATTTTGGAGCAATATTACGTAATGAATGATCATTATGCTGGGTTTGTTTAGCATCGATTTATGAGTTACCTCTCAAGTTTCAGTACTACTCTGAATGAAGTGTTGTTTCATAAAGCATGAGTTTTAGCGCAGCATGCCGCGACACGGTCGCAGGAGTACCGTATTCCAGCCTATGTGCATTGCTGGTGCTTGTCGTTCAATGCATTACCTCCCTGTGATTCGTTGCACTGGCTTTGTTTTCACTGCCTTGTGCTGTTTGTCTGCCCACTTGCCTCCCCCATGCCCTCCAGCCTATGTGCCTTGTTACCGCTTGTCGCCCAGTGCCTGGTTGCTTCCCTGCGCTTCGGCCTGTGTCCCACTGCCTTTTGCCTTGCTAGCACACATAGTATATCTCTGAAAGTCGTTCTTTTTTCATGTGGGAACTCTGGGCAAGAAGGATGAGAGAGTGAGTGTGTCCTTCACATACGTCCATGGATGAAATGTATTCATGGCATATGCTTGTCGCATACCGAGGCATCTTTTAAAATGTTTTTACACACATCACACACACACACACACACACACACACACACACACACACACACACACACACACATTCACAGACACAGACGAACACAGACACACACGCTGCGCGCACCCACAGACACACACTGCACGCTCCCACACACACACACTGCACGCACCCACCCACACACGCACACTGTGCGTACCCCACCCCCCCAACTAGCACACATAGTATATCTCTGAAAGGCGTATTTTTTTCATGTGGGAACTCTGAGCAAGAAGGATGAGAGAGTGAGTGTGTCCTTCACATACGTCCATGGATGAAATGTATTCATGGCATATGCTTGTCGCATACTGAGGCATCTTTTAAAATGTTCTTACACACATCACCACTCACACACACACACACACACACACACACACACACACACACACGCCCATCCACAGACACAGACGAACACAGACACACACACTGCACGCACCCACAGACA